CTTCGGGCAAGGGGTCAGGCAGCTTCGGATGGCCACCTCGGGCTGCCGGAGGTGGCCAATGTGCTGCAAACGTGCGGGGACAGCCCTGGAGCCGCAGGAGGTGACGTTGGGCAGGGTGGTGCGGTAGCGAGGGTTCAGCCAGTTGCTCTGCACGTAGCAGAGCCCGATGCGCCGCTGCTCGCCCCTCACCCCGCAGCGGTCACACACGGTCCAGTCCCAGAAGGTGGTGAAAAGGCTGAAGAGCTTCGCCTGGACGTCGTCCTGGACATGCTGGCCTCTGTCCAAAAAAGCCACCGTGATGTGCTCGGTGGGCTGCACATCCACGTCGTAGCCGGAGAAGTATTCCCCTTTCTTGGTGCCACAGATGTAGTGGCCCGAGTCCGTCACCTGGGCACGGAAGACAATGAGACTGAACATGCGGAGGCTGAAACGCTTCAGCACGTCGCTGCCCGCTTGGACATGGGCTGAGTCGACAATCACGGTGCCGGCCAAGTCCGTCAGGACCCTGGTTTGGTGGCTGCCCATCTCCTTCTGGAAGTACCAGACGACCTCCGAGACCTCTTCAGGCTTGCACTTGCAGGGGAGCTCGAAGGTCATGTCGGCCAAGTAGGCAGCGCTGTCAAACACCAGGAACGCGGGACAATCCGTCCTCCTGAACACATCTCCTTTCTCTTCGATTGCAAAGGCATGGAGAACATCTGCCATGCAGAGGAGAACGGCGGCTCCCAGTATCCTCGCCACCATTGCGCCTGGTGGTCTCTGCAGTCAGCGGAACCCACCCAGCCACCGCGTCCTCAGTGGGGACGGCAGGAACCCGCGCGTGGGGGTGGCAGTGCCAGCGTTGGGCAGGGACGGCGCACACCAGCTCGTTGGCCAAATTTGGGGTTTGCAAACGACCCCCCGCCTGCAGTGCCTGTGGCTGACGGCAGGGATCAAACAGCAGCTGAACTATCCCAGCCCAGCCCAAGATCTGCTGGAAGCACTCCGCGTCCCCCCAGCAGCCTGTTGCCCGGGACACAGACTCTAGAACCTCTCTCCCAGCCGAGCATTGTTGTGTGCGCCCCGGACGACCAGCGGGCAGGGCAGCCCTCCAGCACAGCCG